TAAATGATGCAGAATACATTGTCATGTTTCATATGACTGTCATATTGACTGTCAAATGCCTTTAAGTGTTTCTGTATTTTGTGTCTGCTCCTCCCATTCCTTTGGTTTAGTTAATGCTGTATAGATAGCCCTCCACCTTTCCCAGAAATGCATTGCAGCTCTAGCCTCATGTCATGAAGTAGATCACATTATGATCTTTTGACCTATCGAATGTTCATTGTTGTAAGATTCTCTCAGTTTATGGAATAAACTTCACAAGATTTACAAGATGTCTTATCGATTGAGTCACTGACTGTGGTATCCAACTGAGGTTGAAGTTATCGCTATGTCATCACAACTGTAAGTTACAGAGATCACACTATCAATGCTTAGCTTGGAGAGACAGAAAATACACACATAAACATCATATATATCGACTTCTCGTGGTGTTTATGTATTCTGCATCATTTAGAGATTACAGTATATATAAATTATCACATTTTTATAATATTTTCATCGTATTGAGTTTGTGAGGACACATTTATTGGAGATAGCTCTTTTTCTGTTTTTGATATTGATTTAAAGTGGTGTACACTTTGAAGAGCTGCTGTCTCCCTTTGTTTATACTTATTCTGGTTGGGGTTGTCACCCGTTTTTTGTTTTTTTTATTGTGATTAAGTGTGCTCATTATACAAAGCAGCAACACATATACAGTCTTGGTCAAAAATATTGGCACTCCTGTATTTCTGTCAGATAATGCGCCACTTTGCCCAGAAACTTGTTGCAATTACAAATGTTTAGGCATCCTCATGTTTATTTCTTTTGTATTGGTATGACACAAAAAGGAGGAAAAGCAAAAAGCCAAATCTGACACATTCCACGCAAAAAAAAACAAAAATGAGGATGACGTCATCTTTGATGATACTAGTAGGGTAGGGATGGAACACACGCCACTACGTATATTTAATCCCGCTGCAGCCATCTTGGATTTTGAAATACGAGTTGTTTATATGATATGAAGTGCCTGATTGTCATCTTTTCATTGTAAGTGCATTTACCACATTAACTTGGCTGTATATGCACAGTGATCTGATAAAACGCAGCAGTATCATCATTTGACATGTGGTTTTGAGGAAAGCTGGATATCTTGGATTGATATACAAGTACTGATTGACCACTCTTAATTGGGGGTCATGTGATTTTGGTAAGCCTCCCTTTTTTGTACACTGAGTTGCTGTGTGGTTTTTCATTAAGAAGTTTTGGTGGAGTTTGACATCCATATCTGTCATTTTCCTCATAATCAAAGTAACACTGAATTTCACAGTTTTTGGCTTCACATTTGGATTCCTTTATTTTTTTTCAATTTGTGGTGACACATAAGAGTTTGATATATTTGCATTGCACTATTGTATTGCACATACAGTTTAATTTATTTTAACGCTGCACTATTGTTTTGTGATGTTTATTATACTATGTATTATGGTATTGTCTTAGCTGCTATGGTTTTGACATCCAATGGAGTCCTAGCGCATTTTTTTTTTTGTTCTCGAAATTATTGGCACCTTCTCAAAATTGTAAGAAATAATTGCATTCCAAGTTTGTGATGCTCCTGTAATTTGTAATTAAACTCACCTGTATCAATTAACAGGTGCTGACAATATAGAAATCACACCAGGAACCACTTAAAATGGTGAAACATTGACTCAATCTTTCTGTTGTGTGTCTCTGTGTGCCACATGGACCATAGAAAAGAAAAAGAGCAACAAAGAATTGTCTGAGGATTTGAGAACAAAAATTGAGGAAAACCATGGACAATCTCAAGGTTACAAGTCCATCTCCAGAAATCTTAATGTTCCTGTGTCCACTGTGCGCAACATTCTCAAGACGTTTACAGCCCAATGGCACTGTAGCTAATCTCCCTGGACATGGACGAAAGAGAAAAATTGATCAAAGACTGCTACAAAGGATTGTTAGAATGGTCGATAAAGAACCTCAATCAACTTCCAGACAAATTCAAACTGACCTTCAAGCTCGTACTATACGTAGCCATCTGAATGAAAAGGGATGCTATGGTAGGAGGCCCGGGAGGACCCCACTGCTGACACAGAAACATAAAACAGCCAGATTGGAGTTTGCCAAACCCTACCTGAGGAAGCCAAAATCTTTTTGGGAGAATGTGCTGTGGACAGACGGAAAACAAATGACAGCTTTTTGGTATCAATGTCATAGTTCACATCAGTGCTTGCAGTGTGTTTTGGTTTCAGAAAAAAAAGTAGAACAGGCTGCGTTTTTCCTGCACAGACCTGTACTGGAACATGGTATGATAGCCCATCATTCTACTGTTTTCAAAAAAAGCAATGAGGCCTTTAAAGAAAAGAGTACAGTCCCTACAGTCAGACATGTATGCATGGCATTGTGAAATCTGAAGACTACCAAAGAATTCTGGGGTGCAATGAAGGGCCCAATGTCAGAAAGTTGGGTCTCTGTCAGACGTCATGGGTCTTACAGCAGGACAATGACCTAAAGCACATGTCAAAAAGCACCCAGGAAATGGTTTAAGACAAAATGCAGGAGAGTACTGAACTGGCCAGCATCGAGTCCTGAACTCAATCCCATAAGGAACCTTTGGAGACAGCTCAAAACAGCAGTTGAGAAAAGGAATCCAGGTCTCTTCCAGGTCTCTTCCAATCTGAGAGACCTGGAGCAGTTGGCAAAGAGGAGTGATGATTAGTTATATTTTTCAAGGGGCGTGCTGCCAAATATTACATTGAGGGTATCAATAAGTTTGTCCAGTCTATTTTTGGGGTTTTGCATAGAATGTGTCAGATTTGGCTTTTTGTCTCCCCACTTTTTTTGTGTCATACCAATACAAACAAAAGAAATAAACATAGGAATGCCTAAACATTTTTAATTGTAGCAATTTTCTGGGTGAAGTTGAGCATTGTCTGACAGAAATGCAGGGGTGCCAATAATTTTGGCCATGACTGTATGTGGCAAGACAAGATAAGACTCTCCTCTGTGCTACAACATACCTGTATATTCACATTGCAGACAGGAAGGGGTGGTAAGGTGTGTATATATATTTATTTACATTTTTTTTTTCAGATGTGACTATATTTTGGAGATGCTGAACTTCAACTTCAGGAAACAGCAAAGAAAGGAGTGTCACTTATAGAACATCTGTGGTAAGTGAACACTTTAATATGTTGCAGATTAAGCAAACTCTAGCCTTCAATGGCCCCACTACCTTTTGCCAACCAGTCATCTTCCAGAAAACATTTATAGTATGCCTTTTGTCTTCCTAGTTAAATGATGTCCTAAAAGCCAAACCTTGAAAAGGGAAGGAGGGAGGGTCTGCTACCACACCTTTGCATATTTGATGCATTTCGGTTCATTTTTTTCCCCTCTCTTTTTCTTCAATTTATCCACTTGCCCTCCAGAGGATTTACCCTCCTTACTGTCCAGGCCATTTTTTGTGATACGGAGCTGCGTTACTTTAACTGACAATTGTGCAGTCATGCAATGCTGTACATAAATGAAATATATGTCATTTTTTCCCACAATTAGAGCTTTCTTTCGGTGGTATTTGATCACCTCTGCGTTTTTTATTCTTTGCATATAAACAAAAAAAGACCAACAATTTTGAAAAAAACAAACAATTTTTTTGACTTTTAGCTATAAAACATATCCAAAAAAAATATTTTAAAAATCAAATTTCTTCATAAATTTAGGCCAAAATGTATTCTGCTACATGTCTTTGCTAAAACAAAATCCCAATACATGTAAATTAATTGGTTTACGTGAAAGTTATAGCATCTACAAATGGCGGTATATATACTGGATTTTTTTTTTTATAATACTAATGGAGGTGACGGGACTGCGGTGGGCATTCTGATACTGGGTGAGAACTAACTGCCACTGACATCCCCAGTGACACTAATACAGTGATCAGTGCTAATTAAAAGCACTGACACTGTACTAATGGCACTGGGCAGGAAGGGGTTACCATCTGGGGTGATCAAAGGGTTAACTGTGTGCTGTGTGTGTTTTACTGTGAGCACTGTGTTGTATTTTACTAGGGAGACGTGCTGCTTTGTATGTCTCTGCTGTGCTGTGCAGAGAGATACAAAACAGCATGCCCATGCTGACAGGAGAGAGACCTGTGTTGTTTACACACAGGTCTCTCCCCTGTCAACTTTAACGGACATTTGCCAAGTGCCGGCTGGAAATCGCCAGCCAGGACCCGGTGATTGACATCCCTAGTTGCCAATAGTGGCACGGGTACCCAGAAATGCAAATAATGTATGCATACGTAATTTTACGCAGCCCTGCCACCCTGTAGCAGTACTTCTGCTATAGAGTGGTGGGAAAGTGGCTAAATAGGAACATGTGCATTTTGGTGCATTTTTTATGCATTTTACCATGTTCCAGTACAGGTCTGTGCAGGAAAAATGCAGCCTGTTCTTCTTTTTTTTCTGAAACCAAAACACACTGCAAGCACTGATGTGAACTATGACATTGACAACCATATAACCTACTTTCTGTGCGTTTTGGATGCCGAAAAAAAAGCAACTGAAGCGCATGTAGTGTGAACTGGCCCTGAATGCTAAGTCTAAGCTCACAGTGTATTTTTTCTTTATAAAATGATAAGATTTTCCACCCATAGACTTCAGTGTTGTTCAATGCTAAGTTTTAGGTTTGCAGACTTCAGGCTGGGTTCCAATGCTCCCAATCCAAGTATATCCTGTAGGCAATCTGCTACAATATCTGTATATTTTTCCTTTCATATGTCCATAGAGGTTATGATCTGGATCATAGATTTATGGGTGTTTCTGCACCACAGCAAAAAAATGCATCAATGTTCATCCATGCTGCGCTGCCTACCGTATTTTCTAACGTTCCTCTATTTTCTCTCCACTCCACAACACTTTCCAGAAAATAGCAGGTGGACTATGGGTCGCCAGAGAAGGCAGAAATCAATAACCGATTGGATTAAAATTGGAAATTGGATTAAAAAGCAATGCACACGATGCAGGGAAACGTTTATGTGCATTGCTATGCATACAATTGCTTTAAATTTTCAGCACATTGGTGTGAACTAGGCTCATACATATTCATTGTTTTGTGGCTGTATACTGTTGGGGATGCAATGAGCAATGCATCCCAACACATATGGTCTGAATGAGCCCTAAGGCTTCATGCACACAGGACATTTTAAAAATGCTCCTCCTCTTGGCCACAGTGTTTTGGCAGAAATAACGCCTGAAGCTTGTCAAAGTGTCCAACGCTTGTGTGTGCTTACAGGCATCAAGGGCTTGGGCATTAATTCATTTAATAATTTATTCTGGCTATTGAAATGAATTCATGCTCAAGCGCTTAACGCGCCCAGCATGAACACACGTTAAGACGCATCTACACGCGTCAAGCATTTTTTCTGCCGAATACTGCTCTAATGCACTGGCCTAGGATTTTTTTTCTGCTGGTAAATGCTACTGCTATTAAAAGCTTCTAAAAGTCTATGTGTCCATGAACACAAAGGATAATATGGAGAGCCATTTGGAAGCAGTAAAAAAAAAAAACACCTGACGCCCCTAAAAGTGGCTGCAAAAACGCCCTGTGTGCATGAGGCCTAAGGAGACATGGACAGCAAGCAAACACCTGAAAGGGGTTCTAAACATTTTGGCTCCCTTGAATATTAGAGAACATAGCAATTAACCCCTTAACGCCAACAGCACACAAATTAGCGGCCTCACAGAACTGGGCTTTTTTCGTGGGGCCGCTAATTTGCATACCTGTCTGTCTGCACAGTGCGCTCCCAGCACAAAGACTGGGGTGTCACTGAGAGCCCTGGGTCTTGTAACGATCGGGACCCGAAATGCCCACTTTCGGGTCACCTGATTGCTGTGATAGCCTCTGACTGGCTATCACAGTGATCACTCACTGTGAAGCCCGCCCCCCCCCCCTTGTTTTCTCTTTCTGAACGGAGGAGAGGGATACATTGTATCTCTCTGTGTCCTTTCAGAGAGAAAAAGAAAACAAGTGTGTAAAAATAATATAAATAAATAAATACAGAAATATAAATAATAAAACAATAAACAAAAATACCTAGATCAAGGTTTGATCTAGGTCTGTGCCAGAGTTAGTGTTTGGGGCAAAGTCAGGGCAAAGGTCAACGTCAGAGTCAAAGGTCAGAGTTAAGGGTCAGGGTTAGTATTTTTTTTTTTTTTTGTCAGCGCTTTTTTTAATTTTTTTTAAATTAGTATCAGTGTCAGTTAGTGGAAGCATAAAAAGAAGAAAAAGCAAATTGTGCACTATTGTTTCTGGGCTGTCCAGCGGGTACAAACAACAAATAACATACACACATGTGGTATCACTGCGATCGTCAGGATAAATTATTTGGGGTTGTTATTTGGTGGTAGGTTATGGCAGTAGCAAGAAATATACAGCTAAATTTTAAAAAATGTTTTTTTTTTACTATTTTGGTATTTTTTACAATTTTCAGTTTTCCTTTGGTAATAAAAAAAAAACAGGAGCTATCCATTACCATTTACCACCAAATGAAAGCCTAATTTGTCCTGAAAAAAACAAGGTATAATCCACCTGGATGTACAAAGTAGTTGTGATGATATGTACGGTTTAACTAACACATGTCAAAGTTGCAAAATTGTGCTTAGGCGTTAAGATTTGTATTACCCTTAGGCATGAAGGGGTTATGATAGGTAAATGTGTCCACAAAACATCAATCATGACAAATCCAAATACGTATTATAAACTATAAAGTTCTTACTGGGTAATTTGTTTGTTAACTTTGTATTGTCCTTGAAAAAAGGTGAGTACAATGGCATGTACATTGTTTGAGTTACAAAACCACGCCATAGCATTTGCAGCTTTCAGGTAGTGAAGATGTCTTCATTTCTGCAATATAATAGTGTACTGGAGTGAAATTGGAATCCCAAGGTGTTCATAAATGACAATGAACTAAGAGATAAGCAAGTTATCAGCCAGCAGAAGTCACGATTCATTGGGCTGTATTTATCAAGTGTTTAGGTGGCTGGTGTAACAACAAAAGGTCACAGTCTGTTGTGCAGGAATTGAATCACATAACCGTTAAATGAAATGCTACTGTGACTTCTGCTTTCCCTTGAATTGCTTCCTCAATTATGCGGAATGGGCTATTGTAGCTTTCTAGTGCTGCCAAAGCTGGAAGGCATATCAATGGCACAATAAAACATTATTCTGAAATAAATACCCAGAAAATGTGTGTAAACAACACTGTTCATGGCAAGCTCTTTCCTAAGTTTACGGTCAAAAGAACTTAAATCCTTACGTTTTGCATTGTACTAAACATTAGGCAATCAATATGGTCACATTTCCATTTTACCTGGGTACCCTTTAGATTCTATGACACATTTTTCATAGTTTAATTTTACATGATATTCTCTGGTTCCATTATTTTCCTTATCCCCTCCAAGAGCTCTTGATTTTCAGAAGTGTGAAAATCCTCCTAACAGCTTGGCTGTGTGGGTTAACAGCAAAATATATAAGTGACATCATGGGGGAAAGCTGTAATTCATTGGGTCAGCCAAACTCCATAAATATAATGGTGAGCAGAGAGGAAAATTATGCAGACAACCGTTGAGCTTGCAAATATATATATATATATATATATATATATATATATATAAATATATAAAGTTAAAGTGGTATTAAACCCAAAAGCAAACATTTACTATATTGCAGCTTACCAACTATTAACCTCCTTGGCGGTATTCCCGAGTGTAGCTCGGAGTAGAGTTTCAGTACCAAAAGCGGTAACCCTGAGCTACACTCGGGCTTACTATGCAGCGTTGCTCAGAGATTCCCTGCAGAGCTTACCTTGTCCTTCGCTCCCGCGATGTGTCCTCTGCAGCGTCCCCGGCCATCTCCTCTGGCCAATTTCGGCACCCGGCTTCTGTGTTCCGGTCCCTGTGACGTCGGGACGTACGGGCACCGGAACCAGCGGCAAATTTGAAAATTTAAAAAAATTACTTTTTTTTTTAAAACAATTATTACATAGTAAAACATTACTGTTTCAAACCATTTCACATACATTTTGTCCCTACTGCTTTGTCCTGTGCCCTGCCTGCATTTTTACTGTTCTTTCTGCCTGGAAACTGAGAAACGTCCATGGTGTCCAAAAAGTGTCCCTTTAAGTCAAAAGCGGTTTTAGACCAGCTAGAGAACAGCGATAGTAAATTAGAACCACTTGCAGAATTGAGTGATAATGATTTGTGGGGAAATTCATCATCAGACACTGAAAACGATTTTGCGACTTTGCTCAGCAATATGCAAACTTGGCGCTATATTTCAAATTTCAGTGTTTTTTGTTTAATTATAATATTGAATTAAATTTATTATTATTATATTATTATTTTTTATGATTATTTATTAAATTATAATTTATGATTTCGTGTTTCAAGTTTTATCATATCCGGGATGTTTACTAGACTCTTTTTCGGACAGATTTCAGTGAGTTATTCCTAAATTACAGGCCTACAATAAAAAAACTACATATTTCCATGCAAAAAAATGGTACCACTTTCAGCACTTTCAGGCTTTCTATCTTCTTTTTTACATGGTGATCTAGCCAGTAAGTCTGTTGTTTTTCAAAAGAACAAGCTCTTCAGCAGAATGTATCAGTTACAGAGATGAAACAAACCTTTTACCACTGACACGGGTGCTTAGACCAATCAGCATTTTTTTATTTCTGTTAAAACGTTTTTATCCCAAAAGGAAAAAAACTGCTTGCTATGCCTGCTTATAAAGTATTAGCTAGGGTTTGGCTTCAAATTGTTAGTGTATTTAAATCTTCTACTACATCTAACACTCCCCTCCCCCCAGACTGGCAATGCAGCTGTCCAAAGGAGCCCCCTGTACTTATTCATCCTGAGAGGGGGAGCTCTAAAACAGGATCTGTGTCACTGGTCAGAACACCAGGAGAAAACAGAGGGAAAAAAAGCTTAAAAAAGAAAACAAATGCAGCTACCACATCTAACAATTGGTAAGCTGCAATATAATACATTTTTGGTTTTGAGTTTAATACCACTTTAAAGTGACTATGCTCTGTTCTAAAGTTTTAAATAGACAGCATAACCCAGAAGGTCATATTGAGAAAGGACTAAACCAAAAAGGCATTCACTTGCTTATAGCATAGTCAGGCCTTCTTAGAACATGGGGTATGCACATGTTTTGTTCCATCATATATGCCAAAAATAAGAGGATTATTCCTTATTTTGGGATAATGGGCAGAGTCATGCAAATCATTTCTTTTTGCCCCGATGGTCGATTGTACATTCAGAATCCCTGGAGAATGGTACAGATACCTCCTAATATTAATGATCCATTTATTCCAAAGATCTTAAAGATGTTAGTATATATAGTTGAATAGTAAGTCTGGTTGAAAAAAGACAAAGTCCATCTAGTTCAACCTTAAAAAAAGGAAACAAATATAATCCTCTTCCCAGAGTTGATCCAGAGGAAAGCAAAAAAAACCAGCAAAGTATATGTAATTGCTAGTAGGTTAAGGGAGTGAGAGACAAAAAGGTCATGGACAGAGGTGAGCTTATTACAGACAAAGCGGGCAT